ACATGCCTCTCATGTGACCACCACACATGCCTCTCATGTGACCACCACACATGCCTCTCATGTGACCACCCCACATGCCTCTCATGTGACCACCACACATGCCTCTCATGTGACCAACACACATGCCTCTCATGTGACCACCACACATGCCTCTCATGTGACCACCACACATGCCTCTCATGTGACCACCACACATGCCTCTCATGTGACCACCACACATGCCTCTCATGTGACCAACACACATGCCTCTCATGTGACCAACACACATGCCTCTCATGTGACCAACACACATGCCTCTCATGTGACCACCACACATGCCTCTCATGTGACCAACACACATGCCTCTCATGTGACCAACACACATGCCTCTCATGTGACCACCACACATGCCTCTCATGTGACCAACACACATGCCTCTCATGTGACCAACACACATGCCTCTCATGTGACCAACACACATGCCTCTCATGTGACCAACACACATGCCTCTCATGTGACCAACACACATGCCTCTCATGTGACCAACACACATGCCTCTCATGTGACCAACACACATGCCTCTCATGTGACCAACACACATGCCTCTCATGTGACCAACACACATGCCTCTCATGTGACCACCACACATGCCTCTCATGTGACCAACACACATGCCTCTCATGTGACCAACACACATGCCTCTCATGTGACCAACACACATGCCTCTCATGTGACCACCACACATGCCTCTCATGTGACCAACACACATGCCTCTCATGTGACCAACACACATGCCTCTCATGTGACCACCACACATGCCTCTCATGTGACCAACACACATGCCTCTCATGTGACCAACACACATGCCTCTCATGTGACCAACACACATGCCTCTCATGTGACCAACACACATGCCTCTCATGTGACCAACACACATGCCTCTCATGTGACCACCACACATGCCTCTCATGTGACCAACACACATGCCTCTCATGTGACCAACACACATGCCTCTCATGTGACCAACACACATGCCTCTCATGTGACCAACACACATGCCTCTCATGTGACCACCACACATGCCTCTCATGTGACCAACACACATGCCTCTCATGTGACCAACACACATGCCTCTCATGTGACCACCACACATGCCTCTCATGTGACCAACACACATGCCTCTCATGTGACCAACACACATGCCTCTCATGTGACCAACACACATGCCTCTCATGTGACCAACACACATGCCTCTCATGTGACCAACACACATGCCTGTCATGTGACCAACACACATGCCTCTCATGTGACCACCACACATGCCTCTCATGTGACCAACACACATGCCTCTCATGTGACCAACACACATGCCTCTCATGTGACCAACACACATGCCTCTCATGTGACCAACACACATGCCTCTCATGTGACCACCACACATGCCTCTCATGTGACCAACACACATGCCTCTCATGTGACCAACACACATGCCTCTCATGTGACCAACACACATGCCTCTCATGTGACCAACACACATGCCTCTCATGTGACCACCACACATGCCTCTCATGTGACCAACACACATGCCTCTCATGTGACCAACACACATGCCTCTCATGTGACCAACACACATGCCTCTCATGTGACCAACACACATGCCTCTCATGTGACCAACACAGCTGCCTCTCATCTGACCAACACACATGCCTCTCATGTGACCAACACAGCTGCCTCTCATGTGACCAACACACATGCCTCTCATGTGACCAACACAGCTGCCTCTCATGTGACCAACACAGATGCCTCTCTTGTGACCAACACAGATGCCTCTCATGTGACCAACACAGCTGCCTCTCATGTGACCAACACACATGCCTCTCATGTGACCAACACAGCTGCCTCTCATGTGACCAACACAGATGCCTCTCTTGTGACCAACACAGATGCCTCTCTTGTGACCACCACAGATTGGACCACTATTTGCTGCTGCTGCTCACACCCCTCATTCCCATCTCCCGCTTCTCTACCTGCAGGGTCAGAAGTCTCTGGCATTCGACACGGCCATAGGCATGTGGCAGCTGCTCTTCACTGCGCGGCCATGGCGATTTGTCGAGCACTGGTGTGAATACCTGCAGGTAGGGCTGCTGCTGCTGCGAGGACTTGGTATGAGGAGTACTTTCAGGTGAGACTCATTCTGCGAATACCCAGTGTGAATATCTCCAGGTAGGCCGTTTGCTGTGAGGACCTGTGGTGGGGTTACTTGCAGGTAAGACTGGTTATGAGTGTATCTTCCAGCTGGGCAGGTCAGTCACAGGTTGGGCAATGTTAGCTTTATCCTCTGGGAGTGAACAGACTTGGGGCTTCAAGGCTTTTTTCGAGCCATTTGCTCCCTTCCCGGCCTTCCCTTGTTCCCCCAATTCAGTGTCCTCCCCTCCATTCAACCCCGATCGTCTGGCTTCCATCCCCAGAATGTCTTGTGCTTGCACCCTCCAATCCCGTCCACCCTGCCCTACCCTCCCCGCCCCGCACCGCCCCTCTCTGTCAATCCGCAGATGAAACACAACAAGGCCATTTCTCGAGACACGTGGCAGCAGCTATTAGAATTCACCAAGGTACGCTGCAACTTTCCTTGGTTAAATTAAAAACAGCAAGCTGATCGATCTTAGCCAACCCTCCTCTCCGCCCCCATCCACTGTGTTTCCACCTCATACACTCTCCATTGCACACCCGCTGTTCTGCAGATCAAGGACCCATCGCTCTCATCGTACGATGAGGAGGGTGCGTGGCCATACCTGGTGGACGGTAAAATAGCAAGTTTTGTGTCGCACCTGGGGGAGGCGGCACTGGAGCCCGGCAAACCGGGCAGTATGCCTTCATACACTCTTCTCTCATTCTCCTTGTTGCCCTCTCATCTCACCCGCTCCCCCGCAGATCACGGACCCATCGCTCTCATCGTACGATGAGGAGGGCGCGTGGCCATACCTGGTTGATGAGTTTGTGTCACACCTGAGGGAGGAAGGCGTGGTGCCCAGCAAACCCGACGCCGCGTAGCTGCTTACCACTCCTCTCACTGCTCCCTGCACTGCTCCTCACTTGGCCCCTTTCATCACGGCTCCTATCACCACTGCTCCCGCCATACCTCGTGCACAAGTTTGCGTCACACTCGAGGGGGGGGAGAGTGGTTCCTCGCAAGCCCGATTCCGCCTAGCCTTCACACGTGCCATTGCATCACTGCGTCTCTCTCTGCCCCTCTCATCACTGCCCCTCTCACTGCTTCTGCTCCCACCATACCTGGTTACGAGTTTAGCCCCATATACCTCTCACTACTCCCACTGCTCCTCTCACACCAGTCACTCCCTCTCACCGTCCTCACCCTGCGCCACTCCCTCTCACCGTCCTCGCCCTGCGCCACTCCCTCTCACCGTCCTCCCCCTGCGTCACTCCCTCTCACCACACGAGTTTGTGCCACTCCTGAGGGAGGCAGGAGGGGCGTAGCCTGAGGACGCTTAGCCCTTCCCACATGCCTGCACGCATACCTTCACTGCCCCTCTCACCGGCAGCTTTACAGCGCATCTCATCTCGCCACCCATCTCACTCGTTGCATCACAATTGCTCTTG